TCCAAAAATGAACTAGTGCCATCTGTCGCAAACATGCGTCATGACTTTTCCGACAACCCAATAGTTTGTGACTGTTCTATTTGGATTTGATGCTTTTGTCTTATTTTGTATTTTTACTTATCATACTTTCCTCTTGGTTGTTTTTATTTCTTTTTCCTGAATTTTGCTAGATTGGTTTAGGTTTTTTTTCCCCTTTTTTTTTTCTTCTAGTGGCTTGGGAGATTTTTACCCCATTGCTATTGAATGCCTGTTAATTTTCTCCCTTTTTATTTCTATCACTATTCACATGGTCTGAAGGGTGAATGCCAAGCTCAGTGCTGGTGGCCCAGGTGTTACTTGACCTCCCACTGCCCACCCAGTCCACTCCTAGTCCCAGTCCCTGATAACTCTGAGGTGTAATTCTTCCAGGGCTTTGTTGGGAAAACTAGTACTGGCTGCTGCAAGGGCCCCAATTTTGCACTGGAATGCAAGATTCCAGATTCGAGTTTCTCCATCAATTCAAATCTCTGTGGTTTTTCCTCAAAAAATTTTTCTACTAATCGGACGTTTAATGATTTTCCAACCATTAAATAAATTTATTCTCATTTTTATATTTCTTCTGTTATTGCCAAGGGAATTTTGAGAGAGTCAGAGACAGATCCATTATAGTCAACTTAAAATTCCAAATTATTCATTTTTCCAGTCTTTTTTTTGTTTTGCTTTGTTTGTTTGTTAGTTTGTTTTCCTATATGTCTGCCTTCCTCTTATTCTTCCCTCTTATGTTTGGCTCTAGGCTCAGCCAGATTTATCAGGACATTTGGCGGGTGGGAGGTGAGTGGGGGACAGAGATGATCTGTACGTTTTCTTTCCCCTTAATGTGTGTGCAGATGAGAATGGGGGGGAGAGCCAGGAACTAGCCTAGTTTATCCCCATTTAGAACACAAGTCAGCCAATTAAAGAAGATTAGGATAATGGGTTAAACAAATCCATTTAATCAAAATAAGTCCCCTGTTTAAAAACAACAAAAATATATTGGGCCGGCCAAGTGGCTCATTGGCTAAGAGTTGGCTTGGGAACACATAACTCTGAGCAGCAGGGCCGCTGATTTGGATCCCACATGGGCCAGTGATGTTGCGCCCTCTACAGCTAAGATGGTGAACAACAGCAATGGCGTAGGCTGCGGTGGGGCTGCAGTGGGCTGCCATGAGCCACCGTGAGTGGCTGTCCAATGACCAGCAGCCGATTTGCCTCAGCTGGGAAGAGCCCAATGATCACAATACCAACATGGGTCAGTGAAGTGATGTCCTCCACAACTAGACTAAAGAACAAAAGGACAGCAACTTGTCTGTTCCCTTCCCTGATTCCCCAATGCTGTTCCCTCCCTCAATTCCCAAATAAAATTTATATATATATATATATATAATATATATATTATATATATGTATATGTAATTAAAGAAATATACTCTCAAAGACAGGAAGAACGGGGCAGGAGGAGTTAATAGCAAAATATTAGGTTGAGTAATAACCAACTTAATTGACCTATGAAACTGAACAGAAAAGCAAGTGGGAATAGAAAGCAGAGAGGATCGAAATCCTTCTGAGATGGGATCCAGGTATACACACTGGAGGCATGACTCAGTGGTCAACAGTGGACAGGGAAGGTCTAGGGCTCAGGCCCTAACACAAGATGAGTAAGGCTGGGAAGCGGGGAGGGGGTGGTGGTAGGGGTGACAGGCAAGGTGCTCAGTGCTGGGCCCTGAGCCAGCAGGGAGCAAAATGGTGTCCATGTGGGACCTGAGGACTTTGATAATAGAGAGGCCAAAAGTGTGAAGAACCAAGCCTGATTTTATCGATTTCACAAATGCATTTCAGAGCTGACCCAGTCACAGTAGTTGTCCATGATAGTAGGATGGGAGAGGACAAAGGGCTGGATGCCAAGCAGACAAGGTGGGCAGGGAACTCTACGGTAGAGTTTGAGGAGCTTACCACTTGCGTAAAACCAGCCAGAAACCACAGTACTCAATATGTAAATCTCAGGGGCTGAGTCTCTCCAAGGGTAATAAGCCCTCACAGAGTGTAGTTTTTCTTTCACTCTAGGAAGCCAAAAAAAAAAAAAAAAGCCTGCAGCCTTAATATCTTCTTGGAAACAAGATGAATATCTACATTTTCCAGAGCAAGATCAGCATCTTGGGTCATGTTTATGACACATGCATCTGAACAGACGTTCTCCCAGCACGTCTTTCCTCAGAGATGAGTGGAAAGAGACACGGCTCCAGAAAGGAAGCAGTGACCTCCTCTGTCTGATTTCTCCAGTGACCTCCTCTGTCTCCCTCCTCCCCTGTTAATGGGGCCAGGGGATTCAGGACACATGTCAATTTGTGGCACTGTAGCCAGAAGACCAGCAATTGCTCAGGTTCTAAGCACCATTGAATGTGGGCTCAGGAATTTCCTCATCACCTCATGGGACATGACAGAGATTGTGATCCTACGGAGGAGTCAAGCTGAAGTAAAAACAATCACCTTGGACTTCACCAGGATTGATGAGCTGAAAAACATATTGAACCATGGACTTCAAAACGGATTATCAGACACAAATATTCCAGAGCCAGGTAAGATAAGATTGATTTACTGGGGAAAGGCAAAATGTCAATGAAATGGTCTGAGAAGTTCTTGGATTTAAGGTATAAAATTATGAGAATTAAAAATCTGGGGGAGCATTCCAACAAACACTTCACTGAAACCACTTGCCATTTGGCCCCAAGCAAAGTTAGATTCTTAGAGTAAATTGTAAATTGCTTATGAAGTGGAGGAGAGAGAGANCTCACATTCTCACTGCCGGGCAGTGGAATCAGCCATATGATGCCCAGGAGGACCTCAGGCATCACCCAGGACACCCCTGAGGTCCCTGAGGTTCACACTGCACAAAGAGGAAGGTGGGAAACCAGTCCTAGAGACCCATGTGTGGGTCACAGCACAGTTACCCCTACCCCTTCTCACGTTTCTCCACCTCCTGCACCACTGGGAAGTCCCAGTGGGTGGGTGACCAGAGTTCCTTCTTCTCTCCCAGTTAGATTTTGAGGCTCTTGGTGAGCGACTCTTCTTGGGCAAGTGACTTCTGGCAGCAATTACTGAGGACAAAGTGTCATCGTGGAAGGCACCTGAGAGCAGGTGCAGACCCAGGAGGGTACTGTGCTCACAGAACTGCATCATGAGGTGCTTGGTGTCACCTGGGTAGAGCTGCTTGGCCTCCACGGGCTGTGCTTCTTCACCAGCAAGTGCCTGTCTGTGCCCAGGCAGCACCTTATCTACAAAGTGCAGGGGACTCTCTGCCTTCTTTCTCAATGTATGCATGGAATGGATATAGAACCACATTTTAATCCTCTCAAAAGAAAAGCTAAGCGTCATTTATTTTCTGCAAAACAAAGCTGAATATTAGCTCTATCCTAAAAACAAAGTCTTAGGGTGATAGCAAACTTAATATTATAGACCCGTCATGATTTTAATAAGAAGCAATAATGAAAGTGAGATGTGAGGAAGAGGTTAGGAACCAAGATGAAAGACCCTGGTTTTCTGACAATGGGACCTGGATTGTGCAAAAAGGTACAGAATGGGGAGAAAAGGAGAACTGAGAAGTCCAACCAGGGAAACTACCAGAGAGAGAATGCCTGTCTGTTGGATGACTTGGCATGAGACCTGGCAGCTGGAACACCAAAACTGTGCAGGAGGTGAGAAAAAAGGGAGAAGGGAAGGTGAAATTTTGTTGTATCAGTTAAGGAGAACAGCCTTTGTTGTGGCTTCAGGAGGAATAGCTGATGCTTCAAATCTCTTACCTGTTTGGAACTCCCATGTTTTCACTCCCATGTAATTGGCTTGTTTTCCTGGAGCTACTGACACCAGCTTCTCTAATCCTGGCGGGAACCAATAATCAGCTGAGGGGTCCGTCCGCTGAACCGGGGTCTCGCCTCTTCATTCCCTGCCATTCTGGATTTCATGTCAGATGAATATTCTCTATGGGCTTGATATTTAATTTAGTAAAAACTGCTCTAAATAAGTAGATATATGTCTTATTTTCATGTAAACAACTTCCTCCAAAGCAATGTAATGGAGTTTGAGGTGGTGTGGTTATTGTTTTTCACTTCTGTAGTTACCAGAGCAGACATCATCTTCCGTATGCCTCTCTGTGGCTCTGGGAGAGAAAGACACTACCATTTGCTAAGCAGAGATATTGAGACTATAACTGATGTCACCACAAACCATGAGAAGCTGTTAAGTTTAAGAATGGTTTTCCCTTCTAACTCGGTTCAGTGGTCATGTATACGGAACAGGCTTTACCTTAACAATTAATGATGAGGAGTCTGAAAATTCTGCATCCTATTATTGGCCAAAACATAAAAAGACCCTAATGTCAGTGATACAACTTTTTTTCAAAAACCTCCACATGTCATGTGTTGTGGCTTTCTCAAAGGTCAAACTTAATCTCCAAGCCCCGCTAAAACTTCCCTAATTATAATGTTAATATAATTATAATGTTTCCTTAAACTTTCATACTTCCTTTTGATTTTGGTGGCTGCTACCTTCTCCTCTCTGGTCATGCCAATCTTGATGTATGAAAGCTGTTAATCACCTGCAATAATTTATTTCTTTGTGGGAGGAGCACAATTTTAAGGAGAGTTTAATTCACTCTGTACTGATTCAAAGTACCATATACCTTTGATTTTCCCCCTACACTGGGTAGCGTTCTTGGAACAACGGTGTGTGTGGTTGTGTGTGTGTGGCTGTGTGTGTGTGTGTGTGTGTGTGTGTGTGTGTGTAGCAGATTTGATGTTCATTTTGCTCCTGCCTGATAGCAAATGACTTTAGGCATAGCACAATAGTCTGAAAATTACTTTCACTGTTATCTGATAATGAGATTTTGTACAAGTAGCTTCTCTTCATCTACATATAGCTCTCAGTGTCTATGAATATTGTTACCACTACTACTAGCAATATTAATGTATTAGTTGTGCATGCTTGGATTGACATAGGTCCATTCACCAGGGGATAATGGCATGAGATGCCCCCATTAAAACGTGTTCTCTGACTTAATGGGAATGATGAAGTGGTGGACGCTGTGATGTGCTGCTCAGATCTTCCTTCTGAAATGATGGACTTCTTCATCCATCTGTTAGGAATGCTGCGTGGAGTCTAGCCTCAACTCTCAGACCTCCAAGGGGATTTCCTGGCTGAGGAAAATTGCCTGGCACAAGGTCACACTTCCTTCCCAGGAAAAACAATATCCAATATTTAGTCAATGCAGGGGCATAAAGGTCAGCTTCTTTACTCCAATTCAGATCAACTCTGTAGAGCCAAAGCATATCTAGACCTTGTGGGGGTTAGCAGTGGCTTTTATTGAGACTACATCACAGCTCGGTTTCTCTGTCTGCCCCATCCTGCTGCTAACTGTCTCTCCTTTCTAGATGTGTTGATCTCAAGAACATTCCCTATGAAAAATTCTAAAGTCTTTCTCAGAGTTGGCTTCCCGGGAAACTCAACCTGTGACAGGTGGGACCAGGGAGGCCAAGACTATACAGGCCAGGCTGTAGTAATAACCTTCACAAGTAAAGTGTACGCAAGTGTCAAAATGGGCAGCAGGGGCAGAATGACATCAGAAATCAGGATCTGTGGCCGTGGCTAATTGATCCTGGGTTGTTAGAATTAACGTGATGTGTAGATTCTTGGAGAATTTCATGTACAAGTAGACAACTGGAAAACTGTAGGATAGGGTAGCTGAAACCTAAAGTCAGTTTCTGATTCAGTTCACAGTGCCAGAGCTCACTGATTGAGGGTGAGACCATATCCTTTTTTTTTTTTTTTTAAAGATTTTTATTGGGGAATTGGGGGATGGGAACAGTGCTGGGGAATTGGGGGAAGGGGAACAGACAAGTTGCTGTTGGTTTGTTCTTCAGTTTAGTTGTGGAGAACGTCGCTTCACTGGCCCAAGTTGGCACCATCATTGCGCTCTTCCCAGGCGAGGCGGATCAGTCGCCGGCTTCTGGACGGCCGGTCACTGCGGCTGCTGGCCGCTCACGCTGGCTGCTGGCTACACACGGCATCCCATGGCAACCCACTGCCACAGGG